TATATATATATTTTTAAAGTTCTTTTTATTAATTTTCTCATAAACAGATTTCAGTAACATTACTATTAACAGATTTCAACAATTTTGCATACAATTTATCTTGCAGAGTCATGAATTTAAGAGGTTTTTATTGGTATTCCAAAAACACACAATATATAAGAATGAATCCGTAACAGTGTAGCTTCTGTACAGGTTAAGCCATCGTAAAAAGCAAAGCTGTTCCCGCCAGAGTGTTCAGCACTATATATTATTGCCAGCCTCCATGGGGGCTGCCGAAAATAAACACCAAAGGGGTTAAAACAGATGTTGAAAATGATATTTATTTATACAATGGGTTTTTTGGGGGGGGCGGGGGCCTTCGAGAAGGCGTCGAAAGGCAACTGTGGCTTTCTTCCTCTGCTCCCTCCCCCCTGAGGCCTACAGGGAGGGGAAGACTGCCTGGGGGAGGGAAGAAGGGTGGGTGGGGGTCCTGCCTCCCCTTCGCTTCCCCAGCCACCCTGCCCTGCCGGGGAAAGAGCCGCATGTGGCTCCCGAGCCCCAGTTTGGCCACCCCTGGTCCCAGAGGGAGCCCCGGCCGGTGTTCCCTCTAAGCTGAGTTAGTGTGAGGTAGCTCATAGTTTTTTAGCCTCTGGCTCACACATTTTTGTCTCCGCTCAGGAATGAAGGTTCCAGAGCAAAGTAATTGATGCAGTAGACAAATCGCCTGCTCACAGCTTTAATGCCAGTAGCTCACAAAGTAGAATTTTTGCTCACAAGACTCCACAGCTTAGAGGGAGCATTGGTCCAGGCCCGTAGCCACAGTGGGCTATCTCTGGGCTAGGCCCCCTGAATTAAGGGCAAGCCCCCCCACGACTTCCCATCCAGCCCAGAGCCCCCGGGTGGTGGCAGGCGCGGGGAAGGAGCCGGGTATTCCTTGAATTCGATTGGCCAGTGCCCCCTAAGTAAATGCCCTCCAACTTAAAAAATCCAGGCTACGGGCCTGGGGGGACGGGGCGGGAGGAGGACAAAGGAGTGACCCAAATGGCAGTGCGGAAGAGCCCTTGGGAGAAGGGGGGGCCGCCCTCGCCACTTGCCTTCTCCCCCCCCCGTCGCCCGGTCTGCAAATCCTTCTTTGTTCTGGGGAAAGGAGAGGAGCTGACAGACAGACAGCCGCTGGGCCCTGCCAGGCACGTCGGAGGGTTTCAGCCGCTTCCAGACGAGGAGTCCCGAAAGCGCAGCCCCTAAAGCGGGAGCACCGCCTGTCCTGGCCGAAAGACCCCTTCCACCGCCGGGAGGTGGCCTAGGAAATTCGGGGCGGGGGAGAGCGCTGGGGAGAGGGGACCCCCCCCCCACCAACCGGCGCTCCCTCTAAGCTATGGGGTCCCGTGAGCAATGCTCCCTCTAAGCTGTGGAGTCCTGTGATCGAAAATTCTACTTTGTGAGCTGCTGGCATTAAAGTTGTGAGCAGGAGATTTGGCTACTGTATACATTACTTTGCTCTGGAGCCCTCCTTCCTGAGCTAAGACAGAAATATGTGAGCCAGAGGCTTAAGAACTGCGAGCTAGCTCACACTAACTCACCTTAGAGGGGACACTGCCCGTGAGTAACAATTCTGCTTGGTGAGCAGCGAGCGACTGGCATGGAAGTGGTGAGCCGGCCAGCGATTCGGCGGCGGCATACATGAGTCCGCTCTGGG